CACAACTTATTGCTACCTAAATTGTCAATATAATTTGAGTAATTTTAAGTAGTTATTTGCAAGGAAAAGATGAACCAGACAAAAATCCAATTAAAACAATCCCAAACAACTGGAGACATAACTTGCTACAAAAATTTGAGGGACAGAATCAGAAGTTAATAAAATGTGAACAAGCCCAAGACCCCTTCAAATTCCACACTACTGACAGCCCAGGAGCACAGCAAATTAGATGGAAAAGTAGCATCTAAATTCACTAAGCAAAAACAATACCACAGAAGGCTCAAAATAGCTCAGAAAATCCTCAATGAATTTAATAACCCCATTGTGAAATGCAACAGTTTTCAAAAACTTGTACTGAAATACTTTTGGATAATTCCACTTACCATTCTGTTGTAACAAGCAACATGAAACAAATTATTCTGTGCTTGCTAAAAGGGCAGGCTTGGGGGATGGGCGAAAAACTGGGGACGACAATGTAGGGAAGGTCACACTGGTAGTAGAACTGGTGTGCTGGAACACTGAATGCTATAGCACAACTCTATTACAAACTACTTTGCAAGCCATGGTGTTTAAATAAAGGTTTATTTATTTTTTTAAATGTGAGCATTAAAAAAAAAGTATTTCATCGGAGCTCAAAAAGTTAAATTCGAAAGCAGTCTGAATAGACAGAGTGATAGATAAGGTGTTTGCCATGCATACGGCGATCCAAGTTCGATCTCCAGCATCCCATATGATTTCCAGAGCACCACAGGAATAATTCCTGAATGCAGAGCCAGGAGTAATCCCTGAGCAATGTTGGGTGCACCCCCACCCCCACCACTGCCCCACCCAAGGTCGTACTGCTTCAAATTTACAAACTTATTTGTAGTAAAGAAATTTAAGCTGACACATGTTAGACAAGCTTGTGAATGAATTATCCAAACTGTTTTTATCTCTTACCAGAGCCAGATATTGTTGTCTCTTTAAGCAGAGAAAAAAATACCTGTGCCCAACTTTTGCAACTAAAGAGAGAGAACAGCAGGTTAGGGTGTTTGCCTTGCATGCGACTGACCCAGGCTCAATCCCCAGCATGCCATATGGTTCCAGGAGCACTGCCAGGAATAATTCCTGAGTGCAGAGCCAGGAGTAACCCCTGAACATGACTGCCCCCCCCCCACCAAAACAAAGAGAGAAAAAAAAAATAAACTAAAATGTCAATAGTTCCCTGCCACCCCTTCTCCCCAGAAGTAGGTTAAAAAGTTTCGGCTGGAGCCAGAGTGATAGTACAGTGGATAAGGTGATAGACTGCCTTGCCCCAGCTGACCAAGGCTTAATCCCCAGTACCACATATGGTCCCGAGTCCAAGCCCTGCACACCCTCAGGTGTAGCCCCAAAGCAAAAAAAGAAAAAAATAAACACAGCCAAGTATTAAATAGTACTCCTTGAACCTTGCACATGCACACAGCCGACTCCAACTCAATTCCAGGTACAGCGCACGGTGCCCCCAACACCACAGGAGCAATTCCTGAGCACTGCCAGGTGTGGACCAAAGCCCTCTCCCCCACATAATGCTCCATGTCTGCCTACAGAGTTGCACTGCATTCTAATTAGAAGGCTTAGAGTTGAAACTGAACTTCAACATTATTCACTAGTTATAACTGGAGAAACAGTACGGCAGGTAGGGGGCTTGCCTTGCGAGCAGTTAATCCAGGTCCCATCCCCAGCACTCCACAGAGCCCTTTGATTCTGCCAGGAGTAAGCCCTGAGCACCACTGGGTATATCAGGGGCAAGTTTCATAAATTCTTTGTGCCTTTGTTTCTTTATCTCGAAATAGAGATAATAAGTACTATTCTGTAACAAGCTGGTTTGAGTAGATACACCTATATACTCTCATACATACAAAAACACTTAACAGATTAGACATACATACAGAACATATATATCACTATTATATCATTATTACTATTCTTATTCCAGTTATAAATTAATGTGCTGGGATTGCTCCAGGAAAATGCGCCTAAGTAAAAGATTTTCAATACAACTCTAGAGGATTCATAGATCCTGGATTAGATAAATTTAACCAAGATACACAAGCAACCAGGCTCAGTAAAATGGCTTTTTGTTGTTTATAGGTGACATCAAGCTTTGCTCAGCAATTACTCCTTATATACCTGGCTGGCTAAGGGAACTTGACATGCTATGGGAGATCAAACCTGGGTTGCCTGTACAATCTCTTGGGCCCGGTAAAGTGGTTCTTACTCTCTAGCGTATGGGCCTCTTGAACGGTTCAATTGACCTATGTATCTCTCTTTAGAGTATTTTTAAGTTTATGAATAAATTGGATCAATAAATAAGTCAATTATGGGAGCTGCATAGAATAGGGTGCTTGCCTTGCATGAAGCTGAACTGGTTCAATTGCCAGCACCCCATATGGTTCTCCAAGTCTTGCAAGGAGTGATCTCTGAGCACCACTGGTTGTAGCCCAATATAAAAAAAAATAGATAAGCCAATTATAATTATGAATTTTTTTATTTCAAATTTAGTAACCCTAAGTAACAACTTTTTTGCGTGTAAGTAATTAGTTTGCACATCATAAGTAATATTTTGAGAACTGAAAAACTCAAGTAGGGAACTAAAATATTCTCATTGCACTCATTGAAATATTTTTCAATTCAAAACTAAGGAAAATAAAGACACTTTTTCCCTCTTAACTAAACTGATTCACTTCCTCGATTCTATCCAGGGACTCAGTTTAAAGACCCTTGGCTTAGGGGAAAAGTACAAAACTAAGTTTTGGATCTAGAGCTTTGTGTTCTAGAATTCAGACTTCAGACTTTACTCCCAACACTATTTACACCTGAATGACCTTAGACATCAAACTTCTGAGCGATGGTTCCCTCACTGAGAAAAATTCCTGGGGGGGGCCACCTCAAAGAGATAGCTCAATGGTCTAAGCACATGCTTTGCGAAGCAGGAGGCCAAGGTTTGCTCCGTAACACTTGGTGTATCCCCCAAAACACAGCTGGGTGTGACCCAAAAACAAACCAAAAATTGAAAAAAAAAAAGACTCCTATATTATGACTTTTTCGGGATCAAATTAGTCAACAAAATTCCGGATGACCAGCATGCATTAAAAAAAAAAAAAAGCCTGAGTATATATTAATACTATATATTCAGCACTTGGTGACATTGTTAATTTTTGAGAAAACAAGAAAAATTTTAGACTACACACTGATTCATAGTGAAAATAATTAATGAAAACATTAACTTTATCTAACACATCAGTCATGACTTGGCATTATAACGACCTATATCTCAGTCTTAATTTTACCATTTTAACTAAGTCAAAACTTTCCACCAGTTTTTTCATTATAAATTATTGCAAAGTTTTAGACGTGAGATGATCTAGCTTAAACACTGACTAAATGGAGCTACTAGTAAGGTACACCTTTTAACAGAGCCAAAGGAATCAATTTGGAACTCTAAAGTTTATTCTGGAATTCATGTTGACATAAACTTGTCTTTCTTTTGCCTGGCAAAACACATCCCCACGCAAAACTTGCAGTATCTGCATGCTGTAACATTCCTAAAACAAACTGACCCTGCTTAAAACTCATCTGATTTTTAATACTGCCAAAGGAAAACAATAAAAAAGGAAGAGAGAATGGGCTCAATGACTTTTTATCTTTTCATGGAAGGTTCCGATGAATATTTATCATCAACGGTGGACATATTGGAAGGTAACTTACTTTCTTTAAACTTCCAGCTCTCTAACTTAAGGGTTACATTCTGTTAGCAAGAGCTTTTATGTATACGGCTGTACATACGTCTATGTATCTTTAAACATTGTATCCACTTGAACCCAGCAAGATCCCTTCCACTGGAAGCAAACCTCCGCAGACAGGCCCCACTTCCCCCCACATTCATTATACAACCTGTAAATTCCTTCCCTCATTGAAATCCTCCTTTTTATGGGCCCAGTTAACAAGCGCCAAATTGCGAAGTTGCAGCTTTGCTGGTTTGACGTTTTTCACAATGCAAGAACAATATGATCTGGAATCTACTCAAAACATTAGCCAGGCAGTCAGCTGATCGCTGCCCACAAGAGGAGGCAGAAAGAGGAGAAACTGAACCTCGGGTCTGCGTCGGGCGGGCACCCGGCCCCTTCCTAACTACACCGGGGAAGAGCCAGCGGCCGGCCCCGCCTGGGGTGCTCCATTGTTCCCCCGGCTCCCCCCAGACGCCTCGCCCCCAACTAAGTTTCTCTCATCCTCGGGATTTTCCTGCGAGGCCTCGCGGGGGCTCGTACAACCACGAGCTCGTCGCGACGCCGCTGCCCGAGCAACTTTTCGAAAAGGTCAAAGCGGTGCCTTTCAAGGCTCCCCAACCCCACGGGCTTCTCCTCCGGCCTCCGTAACGCGCTTTCCACCCACAGAACGTTCCAGAGATCCCGGGACGGACGGGAGCCCCGGGGAGCCGGGCGAGGGGCTTGCTCCGGAGCGAGGCGCTCAACTTTCTCTCCCCAACACTTGGGCGCAATTTCGCCCTCGTCGCCCGCCCCGCGCCCCACATGTTGCTGGTCCCCCTCGCGGCGGGCCCCGCGGGGCCTCGCCGCCCCCCCCCGGCCCCCTCCCCCGGGAGCGGCCACCAGACCCCCCCCCCGTCCTCCCGCAGGCTCCGCCCCCTCCCCCGGCCCCCGCCGGCTTGCCTCCTCCCCGCGATCCATACGGGACGCTTTCCCGTGCCTCGGACCCCGGCGCCGCGCTCGGCGAGCCGCGTCCCGCCGCCTGGGGCCTCCGGCGCCGGCCTCCCCGCCCCCACCCACCCCCCGCCCGCCCCGGCTTCCTCAAGTGCCGGGAAGCGCCGCGGGAGCCGCCGGCCCGCACGGCCCAGGTGCTGTGTCAGCCTCGCCGCCGGCGGCGCGGCGTGTGCGGCCTCGGCGAGTCACATGGCGGGGGGACCGGCCGGCGGCGCCCCGCTCCGGCGCCCCCGGGGCAGACGCTCGCCCCGGCCCGCTCACCTCCACGAAGAGCAACATGTCTTCCGCGCTCGGCCCAGGCGTCCTCGCCGCCGCGACTCCAACCGGCTTGCAGGCCCGAGCCCCAGTCGTCAGGCTAAGGACACACGCCTGGCCCCTCCACCCGGCAGTGGACCCGGCTCCTCCCCCGCCGTCAGCCGCTGTGGCCTGACCCGCCCAGTCCCGCCTCCCTCGAAACGGCGACTGCTTCCGGGGCCGCGGCCCGACCACTTCCGGAGGCCAGCGAGCCCTCCGCGCGCTCGACTTTCACGCCGCCCCCGGGAGCGGGCGGCGAGGGACGTACCAAGGCCGGCGCGGGGGGGAGGGGCGCGCTCGGAGGACGGCACCATTCTGGGCCACGGGGGGGTGCAAATGTCGGCTCTGGCTCCTCTTACCCCTCGCGAAACGCGCAGCCGCCGCGGCTTTCACAGCTCAAGTGACAGTTTCCACAGATCGAATTTTTGTTCTGATCGAAAACAAGGAAAACGGGGCCCAGATGGGACCAGGCTCTGAGCCCCTCCGAAAGTTGGTTCTCCGATAGAGAGAGCGAGAGCGCGCGCGCCGCAGTAAGTGTATCAATAGTAGCTGCTGCTTATTGAATGTTTACTGTGCCCCGGGCGCATTTACGGACATTTGCCAGATTCGACCCTAAAACCGTCGTCTGCAGCAAGTACGATTAGCCCCACCTTGCAATTCAAGGAGCCCCTTGGTAGGGCGGACCTAGACACAACTTTAAAGAACTTCAAAGACACGCCTTCCCTCGGACACACCTTTGAACTTTGCCCCAGGTTCCCTGCAATCCCGAACCCACAACTCTGCTCAATATAATGCTACTCGGCCGAAGTTTGTTAATTCAAAGAAGTACATTAAAAGAAAGAAACGTTTGCAGTTATTATAGTTTTCGGTTAGATCATCCAAATCTTATCTTCAGCAATACCCAGCAGGATTTATCCCTCTATTAGTCACATCTGTATCCTGGTTCAGACACTTTTTTTTTTAATCAGGTCTGATTTTTTTTTTTCCCAGTGAATTTTTTTCCCCATTCTATTATTTGAAAAAATCTTCCTAAATTGAAGGTTTAATTTTCACGAAACTTTTTGTTTTCGAAACCTTAGCATTCTGATTGCATCTAATCTTGCTTTTTATTACAAATGAACTCCCTGGGGCAGGGGATGTGGCTCAGAGGCCCTGAAGTTTGATCCCTAGTACTGCAAAAACAAAAAGCAAAAAAAACAAAACAAACAAACCAAAACTCACTTTTCTGTCTGGATACCAAATTCGCCCTACAATTAAATTGCTGGTATTTGTGTCCGTCCTCTCCCTAAACAGATCCCCAGTAAACTCAACATACTTTCAGCCGGCTTAGTTAAACTGATTTTCCCCACTTCTCCCGTGAAATCGAAACTCACCTCCAAAGCCATGGCTTAAGGTATCTTCCCCCTCTGGAATGCCTTCTTCATTTGTCAATCAACTTTCTCGCGCCATAAGGCTTTCCCAAAGACTCTGCTCTCCACAGATCTCTTCCTCATGTCCCTTGTTAGTCCTTTATTATTATACTCTATCTTAAATTATTTTCCTTTCTTTGCTTTCCACTTCTTCACAGAAAGAATCGTTTGTTCTTCATAATTTAGGATAATAGTAGCCACATAGTAGTGTCTCAAGAAATGCTCGTCCAATTGAAAGAGGACAGTGATTTTTTTTTTAATTTGCTTTATAAAGCCTTCATTTCCAGTTGCTGATGAATTCCATGCTGCTTAAAAACAAAAACAAACACATAAGAAGGAGGGATAAAACACAATACTGTTAAATTTAGTTGATTGCTGTCAGCTTTGAATGTTTCTTGGAGAGAACAATGTAAAGAAATCTATAAACGAAAGTTATCCCACCATCAAATATTTAATTACCACAATCTAACAAGTACTTAAATAAGCTAACTGATAGAGTCAAGAAATTCTGGATAATGGTGAATATTTTATTTAACCTCTTATTTATAAAAATTAGTGTAATTGTGGTTCTTTAAAAAATGTTATTCACTTCTTTGAATACATAACTGTGAATTGAAAAGAGGGGCTAATTAATACTTTATGATGGGACAGTCTGGCAATTAAAGAAAAAATTCTAGGACTTAGAAAAGTTTCCATAAGAAAGATGAGAATTCTGAAATTATGATGAATGTTCAAAATGTTAACAATTTCTTTGGAGGAACTGAGGAAGAATATGGCAAATGTTAGAGAAGAAAACTGAAAAAAATTCCTCAGCTAATAGATAAAGAAAAAAATAAAGTTACATATCATAAGTACTAGAATAAAAAGTTTACAAAGTGATTTGGGAACACAGTGGAGGCAGTAGTAGACAACAGGAGACAGAAAGAGGCTATATTTAATTTTCTCTGTTTAACAGTTGATATTTTTAAAAGGTAACTACTTTATGATTCCTTGCCTTCCTTTCTCTAAAGGGTGGCAACACAAATTACTTACTAATTTACAAGAAGGACTCAACATCGGACTAAATTTACTAGAAGGACTCAAGAAGTTCTTAGATTTTTATACATACACAATTTCTATAAAATCTAAAACCTAAATGGTATTAGTTTATAAATCCATACACCTATATAAACATAGAAAATATGTAAACAGTTAGAAATATAAAAATTCATGATCGTCATCACCTCTGAAAAAGGATAGAGGGGAATGGAGTAGTCCGGGAAGAATACGAAAGGGGAATTATTTTATCTCTAATGCTTTATTTTAAAATATCAGAAGCAAATATGACAATATGTTAATTTTTTGCTCAGTCTAGGTGACAGGCACATGGCTCTTACTTTCTTTATTTTTTCCTATCTCTAATTTTTTTTAAAGCCTGTTCTTTAATTGCTCCAGTCTCTTAATCCTTCCCCCTCCTCTGCAATCAAAGCTGCCGCCCAAAGTGCAGTTCAAAAGCAACCTCTAGAGTTCCCCTCAACTTCTCCAGTCAACTACAGAACATCAAAGCCTTCTTCAGTCTGGCTCCTTGAAAAAAATTGGTAACTAGGCAAGTGCAAAAAGTGTCATCTCCACCCAATAATATTCCGAGATATGGCATTATCTAGAAAAAGTTGAGGGGCAACTGAAGAAGTTGTAATACAATTATTCCATTCTAGATGGCTTAAAAGGTCTTAAGCAAAACTTCAGGAAGAGAAAAGAATCAGGAGTTACTTTTGATATACTGGATCTTGAATTCTAACACCTAGATTTCAAGCTCATTTAAGCAGGGCTCTATCTTCTATTTCTTTTAGCGTTCCTGTTGTATATTCCTTCCTACCCTCCCACCCCCCTTCACCCTCCACCATCACAGCATCTAGAATGCCTAGTTCTCTGCTTGGAGTAGACACTCTTTAATGTCTGAGTCAGCGATGTCACATGGGACTATTATGATGTCACCAGGTCTGGAATACCATGTAATTAGCAATAACTTCAGCTAAACTTGTGTAAGCAGGAAAGGTTTCTGACTTCCTTGCAGATACCTTTATTTGCCTCTTTTAATGTGGGGGGGAAAAGCAATAAAAGAAAATCACTCAGTTTGTCAAGATGTTTGTCAAAAAGCAAACCAACATAGACAGTGACTCTGAAGCAGAGAAAGACGTTGTGGGTATCAACCAGCCATACTCGCCCAAACCAGCCACACTCGATACTATACCAGTGGTCCCTAAACTTGAGATCCCGACCCCTGTCCAAAGAATCATCACTGAGATTCAGGAAGCGCAGCGCCAGAGAGCCAGAGAGGTAGGTACTGAAAACTTTACAGATAATTCTGTAGTTTAGTGTGTAGGGTGTTTTGCCATACACACAGTTGACCCATGTTAAATGCTGACACTGCATGTGATAGCCCAACCCCCACCAGGAACTGATCCTAGAGCACAGAGAAAAGAATCCCTGAATACTGCCAGGTGTGGCCCAAAAACCAAAACCAAAAAAAGGGAAAATATGAAAGACAGCTTGCTTTAAATTCTGACTCCTCTTATTCCACTGAAGACTTCATAGAAGAGAAATCCAAAGACAATGAACAAATGAATAACAATCAAAGAAACCCCAAACAACTAAGATAATACTGTGTTTTTCTTTTTCTCCCAGACTACAATAAAATAGACAGATTAAAAATGTAATCTGGGGCTATATGATAGACAGCAGGGAGGGCACTTGCTTTGCACACTGCAGACCCAGGTTCAATCCTTGGTTATCCCATATGGTTTCCTGAGCACCTCCAGGTGTAATTTCTGAGTGCTGAGCCAGGAGTAACCCCTGAATATTGCTAGGTGTCACCCAAAACCACAACAAACAAACAAAAAGAAATTAATTTGGGGGGCCAGAGAGACAGATAGTATAGAAGGTAAGTTACTTGCCTTGAATATATCAAACTGGGTTCTATCCCTGGCACCACATATGGTCCTTGAAAAATGCCCAGGGTCATTTGAGCACAGACACAGGAATAAAACCCTAAACACTGATGGATGTGACCCCTCAAAACAAACCGAAATCATAAACATACCATATTAAAAAAAAAGAAGAAGAAGGAGGAAGAGGAGGAGGAGGAGGAGGAAGAGAAGGAGGAGGAGGAGGAGGAAAGGAAATGAATGCAGAGGAAGTTCTTCCCTGTGTTTAAAGATTGTTGAATATAGGTACTTTATCATTCTCAATGTAGACTTTGCCCTGCTCCAACTTCCCATGACAAGCAACAATTACAAAGCACTTTCATTTAACAGCTTTACTGAAGCATAATTGCCATATAATAAATTGAGTGTTGTCCCCTACTACACCCCTGTTGCCTTTCCTTTGTTGTTGTGATGGCTGACACAACATGCTCACTGTATATCACTGTCCTCCCGTTGTTCATCGATTTGCTCGAGCGGGTCCAGTAACGTCTCCATTGGAGACTTTGTTGTTACTGTGTCTGGCATATCGAATACGTCACGGGGAGCTTGCCGGGCTCTCCAAGAGGGGCGGAGGAATCGAACTCGGGTCGGCCATGTTGGCTGCGTGCGTGCAAGGCAAACGCCCTACCGCTGTGCTATCGCTCCAGTAGAACATGCTCATATTTTTTTTTGGGGTCACATCTGGCGATGCACAGGGGTTATTCCTGGCTCATGCACTCAGGAATTACTCCTGGTGGTGCTCGGGGACCCTATGGGATGCTGGGAATCGAACCTGGGTGGGCCGCATGCAAGGCAAACGCCCTACCCGTTGTGCTATGGCTCCAGCCCCACAGGCTCATATTTTTAGTTGTGCTCATGGGTCGTAGTGTTTGCAACCACTGTTTGCCAAAGTTTCATTATCTTTGTTGTGGTGCTCACAATGATCACACCCCATTTATTGTGGTGCTTAGACACATTTGTCTACCACGTGACCAGAATCACTTGTGGCACGGGGGGGTCACACAATAGAACTGCCAGGGACATGCATAGTGTACATGACAGTAAGAGGGATTGAACTCTTTTCTTGGCAGGGTCCAGGGTTTTCTACTGATGGTACATGACAAGATACGGCTTCCTAAGCCCTTACCTTTCTTCAGGGAGTATGGGATGAGAACAGGACATTCTCAGTGTGGGATGGGTAGAGGAAAGACTCCCCAGCAGCGGAGGCCTCTCGTAGACTCTAGTGCTCTCTCCGGGGCTGGTGTTCTGTTCTGAGATGCTCCTAACCATCATGTCACAGCCTCCCAGAGGGACATCCATGGTCTTCTGGGTGCCATGATGGTGTGGACTGTGGTCGTGAGGCCAGACCCTCCACAAAGCAGGCGTTTTCGTGGGTGTTCTTGGCTAGGGGACTAAGCTGTTGGTGGTGCATTGCTGACTATCTTGAGGGAATTATCATGACTCACACTTATCAGTATATGGGGACAATGACAGAAAGGGCAGAGGTAATGACCCTTTTGGCTCCATACTTCAAATGAGCATCAGTTTTCTCTAGGGTAGTGAAGACATCCGTGGACTCTGCAACATATTCATCACCAGTCTCACCCCATTTGATGTTGGTGGAATCTTGCTCCTAGAAGACGGAACAAGAAGATTGGCTTTCTGTTCACAACAAGCTTTCCACTCTTAGCTTTGACTGTGCTGTAGGTATTTGCTGGAACTTGCTGTGGTGAAATTATGATGTTACACATAGATGATGTAGTTGAGGTCCACGAAGGTGTCTTTGAAGGCCACAATTTCCACTTTTCCAGGGTCAAAAACAGCTCTGATGACAGGCACCCAATCTGGCCAAATTTGTTCACTCAGACCCTCACTATTATGTATCAGGGATGAAGCTAGTGCTATTTAAGAAAGGGCTGCTTCCTGCCCCCCGCGAGCGGCTCTCCAGCACGGCCAGAACTCCAGAACACAGAAACCAATTTCTTAACTATCTGACTTTCAGTAGAAATACTTCCAGGGTCAATAGGTAAAAGAGCAGAAATCCAAAACCAACATTTAATTCTTGAACCCAGCCGTAGAAAGCAAATCACTTCACAATGCTTTTTCAGCATGTCTGATTGGGGGGGGGGGGGGGGTAAACTCTAAATAATAGTGGTGAATCTTTTATTGAAACAATGAATCTAATCAAAGCAGATAGAGTGTTAACTAGAATTCATCTGCCTCACAGGGACGGGGAGGGGTGGGGGGTGGGGTTTTATTGGGGTTCTTCATGGTAAAAAATAAGTATTGGTAAAGGGAAATGTGTTTGATATTTGCATGACTGAGACATAAACCTGAAAGCTTTGTAACCTTTCCCACAGTGATTCAATAAATAAAAAAAAAAAAAAAGAAAGAAAGGGCTGCTTCTATTTTGAGTTTTCTTTTCAATTTGAATGCAGTTGTTTATTAACTGACCAGATTATAAAAATATGGTAGATACCGTAGTTCATTTATATAATCAGCTGGTTGATCTGAATCTTCCCTGTTGCCAGCATCTCCACCTTAACAAAATGGGTGGTCTTTTTCTTCATCCTACCCCAGGAAGATGATAATCTGAAGGGCCAGAGGAAGCTGTTTGCCTCTTTGAAGCATTTTCCAACAGAATAGATCTCATGAATCAGATTCTCCATGCAGACAATGCTATATCTACCAAAAGTTCGGCAATCAGTGTGTTATCTATTAGGGCAATTTGCATTTTTGTGGATTTTGCCATAACCACGCTTGTAGATCAATTCATTGACTGACTTCAGGTTTGGGTATCCCCATGCAATATAGAGTTGTACAATCCTCAGCATGTTGATTGAAACCTTGTTGAGTTTAACAGAGGTGTCATTGAAGACCTGGCAAAGACAGAGAAGCTGCAGTACCTTTTGAATGTTGGGACTCACACCGTAGATTCCTCTGATTCTGATGACAAAAGCCAATTTGGGTTCTGCAGGAATGTAAGAGTTGCCAGCCTTTCTTGCCATCTATCTATATGTATCTGTGTCCTGTACATCTGCTTCTATTCCTTGTGACAATGATTAGGTTTTTTTCATAGATCAGCTTCCTCCTCTTCTTTCTCAGGCTCTTAATCTTTAGCTCTGTGAAATTCTTTCACTTTTTCTCCAGGTTTCTGGCACAACAGGAAGTTTCTTTCTCTTCTCTTGGGTTGCTACTGCTGACTTGGCAGGAACTTCCTTTTTTTTTTTTTTCCTCTTCTGTGCCTTCCATGGTTCCAGTCAGGAGGCCTGCTTCTGTTGAACATGAAAAAGCAGAGAGCCAGGGACTGAAATCTTGATTTCACATTTGCAAGACCTTACATTTGCAAGTCAGAGATTTAGAACTCTTGAGTTATTCTGAATTGTATATATTCAAAGTATGCAAGTTTTTTTGTTTGTTTGTTTGTTTTTTGCTTTTTGGGTCACACCCAGCTATGCTCAGGGATTATTCCTAGCTCTGCACTCAGGAATTACTCCTGGCGGTGCTTGGAGGACCATATGGGATGCCAGGGATCGAACCCAGGTTGGCCACGTGCAAGGCAAACGCCCTACCCGCTGTGCTATCGCTCCGGCCCCTACAAGTTTTGATATCCCTTCATCACATTAACATAATGAGTATATTCTAACTCCCCCCAATTTCTTTATTCTTCTTTGCATTCTCTAAAAACATATCCTTGTACGTATGAATAGTTAATTCATTTTACCAAATATTTTCCTCTGGCATGGTCATTTGGGTTATTTTCAATTGAGGTTATTACAAACAAAGCTGCTATGAATGTTTGTGCCTTTATTTATGTGCTTCTTTATGACTTTATGGATAAGTCATTTGATTTCTTTTGTATAAATACCTAGTTTTGGAATGCTTATGTCATGTGGCATGCAAATGCTCAAATTTTAAAACAAGCTAAAAGTGGGTTCACTGCCTCAAGCATCAGAAAGTCAAACATTTGTATAAGGAAGGTAGGAGCAAAGCTCAGTATTCTTCCGGGTTCTTTAGTTCCAGAGAACATACGGGTAGAAGGAGGGGCTGGGCTCTTCTGTCTTTATCTTTGATGATCTATCTATCTATGTGTATACAAGCGATCTCACTCAGGGCCTCCCTCATACATACAAGGCATGTACTCTATCACTGATTTACATCCCCAGACCTCTCATGTATTTCTTTTTTTTTTCTTTTTGGGTCACACCCGGCGATGCACAGGAGTTACACCTGGCTCTGCACTCAGGAGTTACTCCTGGTGGTGCTCAGGGGACCATACGGGATGCTGGGAATCGAACCCATGTCGGCCACGTGCAAGGCAAACGCCCTACCCGCTGTGCTATCGCTCCAGCCCCCCCTCTCATGTATTTCTTA